GTGGGTGGGTGGGTGTTGTGTTTGTGGTGTGTGTCTGGATGTGTGTGTGTGTGTGTGTGTGTGTGTGTGTGTGTGTGTGTGTGTGTTTGAGAGAGAGCGAGAAATGGAGAGCTTGCATGGGTCTGTACGTTTGCATGTTGTTGGGACACATGCACACATTCGCGTGCGCATGTGCGCCTGTGCACTTGGTGTTCAATGGCCAAAAAAGCGACACACTCAGCCGTATGCTCGCCTCTTAACCAGCCCCTTTCTCCCTCAGTCCCCACACGAGCCCGTCCCCGCCGTCGCCGCTGCCCCTCTCTCCGCCACTCACCCCTCGTGCCCCAACCATTGCCCCCTCACCCCTCCTGATCGGGCCATCCCCCTCCCCCACTTGCAGATGGTGGAGTGTGACAGCCGATCTGTCCTAGATGAGTATCTCTCAGCCGGCGTGCCGCCGCTTGGGTCCACCCTGCGCCTCACAATAGGTGAAAAGGGCTGCCAATCGCAGGGTTGGCGGACCGGCAGCTCGGGAGGCGTAATGCGATTGGCGCGGCGGTGTGTGTGTTCGTGTGTGTGTGTGTGTGTGTGTATGTGTGTGTGTGTGAGTGGTTGTGCGTGTGTGTATGTGTGTGTATGTGTGTGTATGTGTGTGTGTGCGCGCACACGCGCGCGTGCACGTGTTCCGCGCCGTGGGCGGCCAGCCACCGCTCATGAGCAGCCGGCCATCTACGCCTGCCCGACTTCCCGTCGTGCTCGGCAGCGTGACACCCGGTTCGACTCACAAAGGCGACCCCGATGACGTCATTCATGCATCACCGCTCGAGCGACACCGCGCTCCGCCCTGCAATCCACCCGTCTGCAGGCGACCTGTACCATCTTGAGTTCCACAGGGCCAACCCCTGGCGCCGCGGTATGGCCCCAGAGGCCATTGGCGCCGCAGCCGCCGACGCGGACGAGGACTCCGGCCCCGGCGACGACGCCTGCAGCGGCGGCGGCGGGGACGGCGGCGGGGCCGGTGCGCCCGCGTCGCGGCCGGGGCGGTGGCTGCCGCGGGCGGGGGAGGACCCGGTGGCTCTGGCGGAGGCCGAGTGCGCGGAGCAGCTGCAGCTGTGGGCGGTCGCGGCGCTGTGCAGGTGCGCGCGCGTCAACTGCAGGGTGGTGTGTGCGTGTGCATTTTTTGTGTGTGTGTGTGTGTGTGTGTGTGTGAGTGTGTGTGTGTGTGTGTGTGCGTGCGTGGGCGCGTGTGTGTGCATGTGTTTGTCTCTTGTGGGGGAGGACGCGGCCGTCTCGGCGAAGTGCTGATGGCTCTGTAGTTTCCACTGCTCCAGCAGCTTGGCCTTGGCTAATTGCCGGCTGCCTGGTCTACGGCCCCGCCCCGGCCCAGCCTGACGGCCCAGTGTGCTCCCCTCGCCCCAACTCTCTCGCCCCCTTCGCCTCACCTCGGCTCCCTGTCAACTCCAGACCCACCTTGGCCCCTGTTACCTCCCTTCGCACCTGGCTCCGATCCCTCTCCACCCCCACCCGCGCGCTCCATCCCTCTCCGTGCCACCCCATCCTCGCACCCCTGCCTTGCATGCGCCACATCCCCCCGCCCCCCAAACCACACCGGTGCCCTCCCGCCCCAGTCACTGACCCACGGCCCCCACCCCTGACCGCCGCCGCCTCTGCAGGAGCCTGTCATTAGACAACGTGCTGACTCTGCTCAACGCGGCCCTGCTGGAGAAGCAGGTCGCCGTCTTCTGCCCCCACATCGGCACCCTCTGCGCCTGCGTGCTTGCGCTCGTGCCGCTGCTGCGGCCGTTCGTCTGGCAGAGCCTGCTGCTGCCGGTGACGCCCGCGGGGATGAGGGGCTTCCTCGAGGCGCCGGTGCCGTTTGTGCTGGGGCTGCAGTACAAGACGCCAGAGGTGTCAGCTAGGTGCGCGTGTGTGTGTGTGTGTGTGTGTGTGTTTGCGTCTGCATGCATGTGTGTAAGGAAGGGAGAGGGGGAGGGGGAACGGGCGCGCGGTGCGCCGCTGGGGTGTCCCCACCTCCTTGTCGCGCCTGCGGTCGCTTAGCCACCGCCCAAGGTTGTGCCCTTGGGGCTGCCCTGAACCCCGCCGCAGCCCCAGCCCCAGCCGTGGCCCCAACCCCGCGTGTAAACCCTCATCCTAAACACCAATCCCCAAAACGCAACCTTGGACGCCGCCGCGCAGGTGCGGCCACCTCGTGCGTGTCAACGTGTACAAGGACCGGGTCAAATACAAAGGCACCATCCCGCAGCTGCCCAACATCAAGCGCCTGGCGTCCGAGCTGGCCCCGCACCACGCGGCGCTGCGGGCGGCCGGCGGCGAGGCGGCCGACCGGCCGGTGCACGTGGTCGGCGCGGACGAGGCGGCGGCGGCGCGGCGGTTCATGAACGTGAGCGGGGGCGGCAGCGAGGAGTCTGACTTGAGTCCTGGGAGGGGCGCGCCCCGCGGGAGCGCGAGGGCCGTGCTGCCAGGGGGTGGGGGCCGGATGTCGCGCGGCGCCCCCGTCCTGTGCGCTGCGGGTGGCGGCACATGGTGCGCGGCGCGTCGCTCCACCTCGCCTGCCACGCTCCTGCACGCCGGCGTGCTTGCCCGCCCCCCTGCTCCCCCTTCCCGCGCCCAGCCGCCCCACGACCCGACCCGTCCCCCGCCGCCTCCCATGCCCCGCC